GAGATTGTAGACGACCTTAACAGTCATGTCTCGCCTTTAAATCTGAGACAGTCCTGAAGATATGATTTGCCTGTTTCAAATATACATCGAGTGAGTGAGAAAGTAATATTTCCAACTGAAGGTAAGTTTTTATGACAACCTGTGTTTACTTTAGAGGTAGAAATGTATTGTCTGGTCTTGCACTAGTGAAATATTTGGGGGCCTTGAGAACACTGTCACAACAAACAGAGCATTCACAATTCCCCTGATGGGCTGATTTTACTAACAGCACACATTTTGTGAAAAGAACCTCTGATGTACCAGTGAGATTCCAGATGACAGCATTAGTGCACCTGCAGGTTTTAATTGGTGCAGAAAAGGGGAGAATGTGAGGTACCAATTATTCTCTTGAAGCCTGAGAATCAAGGACATTTTTGGCAAGGAGGCTTGTAATTCCAACATAAAATTGCACACAGCATGGAATAAACAGGGCCTGCATTATTTATCATGCATTAGGCAATTTTTGACTTGTAGAACTCTGAAAAGCTGAGTGAGGTGAATCTTTAACACTGGACCTACTGCAAAGGTAATTATAAGTAATATGTCTGTGTTGCAAATTTAAGGATGTACAAGCACTAGTGAAACATGGTAATTAGATACCAGCTCCCAATCCAGGGAGTAATCTAAATATGGCAATAATTGGGTAGTTAAAAAAATGCATTGATAGGAAGATGATTATTACATGCTGGAGAATCTCACTGGTAATTCTAATCTAAAATGAGCTGCACAAAATTCAGCTAATCTTTAACTTAAATTCTCCAGCAAGAGAAGAGCTGTGAGTGGGCTGAGACAAATGTCTTATTCTTTACTTATTCAAATAAATAGTTTTTAGAAAAAGCTGTGAATGACATCACAGAGTCCTAAGAACTTAGTCATGTCAGAATGTCATTCATTGATGTTGAGAAGATCTGGTCATCATCTCAAAGGGAAAAGGCTCACACTGGTAAGTCCTTTTCATTGAGATTGGTCTTCAATGCAATGAATGCCAAGATTTCTGCCTGTGGGAATGAGGTGAGAGTTTGCAACGAGAACTTCAGTACCTCACACAGAAGTTTGTATGACACTACAAAATGGAGGGAACAGCCAGGACCTCTGGCTTTTTTATTTTTGAATGAACAGGAATGAAGTTTGTAGATTATGCCCATCACTGGTTCCTACTTTGCCGTGGTGGGAAACAGCCAGGCTGGAGGCCAGGCTAGGGCTTTGCCACTATCTGGTGGATGTGAGTAGTTCAGCAGCCTGTGGCTGGCTTTGGTTGGCAGATCTTTGGGCCATGTTGTACCATTAAGAGTGTGGTGCACCTGACTTTTACTCTGTGATGTAAACAAGAGCCTATTGGTGAAAGGAAAGTTTGGGATAACAAAGTGGGAGGCAGGTAACAATCCCATGTTTAATGCATGGGCTGAAGTACTGCATTTGTGCCTGTTTTACCATATACTCATTATCCTCCTTCCTGTAATCCATGGTCCTCTCTGGTTGTGTGGGCTCTGCTGAGCCAGTGTGAATAAAATCCCTCCCAGTGTTTCTTATCAGCAATGGTGATGTTACCTGAGGTTAATCTTAGGAGGAGGTAGATAAGGCCTCAATCTCTTCATCCCATCTGACATGTCTATGGAAGAGCTGCATGTCCCAAATGCTCTTGTGGATTGAATGCCTGGTTTCCTCAAAGGATGCATTCAGCTTGCTGGTGAGAAGGGATGTCACCGTTTTTGTGTTGTGGAAACACGAGTGTTCTGGGCTGGCTGAATGAGCATCAGGCAGGCTTCTGCATTCAGCCCCTGCTTGAGTGAGTGGCCTGTGCAGCTCTGAAAAAATCAAGCATAGCACCTGATGCAAAATGCAACTTCTTGTAATAAGTATCGCCATGTTGGTGATGGTCATCCTTTCTGCATCACAGCTGTGGTAAGACATCAGGCACACAGGCAAACTGTTAAGCCTCAGCAACTTCAGGGCCAAGTTTGAACAGTGTTAGGCATTGTGAAACCCATCAGCGGTGTCACAGCTGACTTAAAATCAGTGAATGTTGCCTTTGTTTTTCATTTGGAGGCCAAAATTGCCCAACAAGGGGGATCCTGAGGTGTGACAGGTACTTCCATCTTGCAACTCTGAGGCACCTCATGTGTGAGGTTAAGTGTCAAGGTGCTTAGGTCTTTCAGGAATAAAGGTATGCCTCAAAGCCTTTGTGTATCTGCAGGTACTGGTGCTGAGAACAGCATTCCTATGGACTCAGTGCCTCTTGGTGCTATGCAGAGCTGTTCTGAGTAGCTTACTGTTGAAATTGGGCCTTGTGTAAAGGTTACATTCCTATTTGTTAGCTTTGTTGTGTCTCAGAGCCTTAAATCCATCTTCTGTCATGTGATTGGTGTTCATGTAATTGGGTGTTCTCTACTCATGCGAAAATGGGGGAGGTCTAAGATGTATTTAGTCAACACAACCTCATACCTAGTCACAGGTTTTATTTCTAACCATCATGTCTGATTATTCTGTAGGATTGGCTCATAGTTAAAACCACTGCATATAGCAGTAGTCATCTGAGTAACAGCAGAATATCTCAAAAAATATATAGAAATGTAATGTGGGAGAGTTTGTGCTTATTTTGCTATTATTTTTTGTGTCTTCATTATACTTGTTAGTGGTCACTCTTGGGGTTTTTTTTAATCCACTATGCTACAATAGCAACTTTAGGGCAAAATAAAAACTGAGTAAACATGGCTACAGAATGGAGCCAATTTTTGGCTCTTACCTTGATCCCTGCTTTGCCTTGCTTGCACACTCTGCCTCAACAAAGGAGGCCTTTTCTGACAGTGCTTCATGGCACATTGCTGTCCACAAGGAGCTGTGCTTCAGGGGCCAGTGGCTTGAGCTAAGTCAGGAACTGTGAGGCAGCTGCATTACTTTAGGATGCAGTACCAGAGGCCATGGAGATGGCAGAGTCTTGTGGAAGATGTGGTGTTGGGGGAAGGGAAGGTGGTGTTGCTGGGCTT